TAAGACTAGTATCGCTAGCGCACGCTTTAGAGGTACACACTACACTTGAAAAATAATCAACGAAGAAGGAAATTCACCATGGGTATCTTTTCTGATAGTTATATCATGCAAGATTTTCCCGCCGTTCGGTGGCCCTTTCTACAAACTGACCACTCTGAGCACCCCTATTATTGTTCCTGCCATGTGCTGCCCTTTCAGCACAACAACGAGGGTTAGGTTCGTGGTGGTTCTACCTATGGGATTGGTTGTGTGGCTGGAATTTAAACAGAGCTAGCGAGACAAGGGCAGTACCGCGGGGTATCTAGGTCAAGGTTAGCTAGAAGAATGATATCATACCGCTGACTAGGCCAACCGCCAAAGCCCCCACAGAACCCCCCGCCTCTCAGGAGAAATAACGTGCAAAACTCCATCTCTAGAATAAATTCCAAATCACAAGTTACACAAAACATTCGGAAAGGGCAGCTCTCCCAGCATTACACAAAAGCCAATTCATTCGCCCACACCGGCCAATAATCCAACCCAGCGTGCAATCTCCTTCAACCACCCACCCGTCCAGCTAAAGAAATACCACTCATGATACTACTCCGCAGCCTGATCCTCGACCCTACACTACCCAACAACCTTGTCAGCGACCCAAGGCAAGTGCCTACACCCAACTCCGAACACCACGGTCCCGCAAATTCCCAGTGGAGCAGCCCATTGCCTGCATGGCTCCTCCATCTCAGACCGCCCGTACTGCCCCAGAAGCGCCAGGAGCCCGAGTTGCGGGCCCTCCCAGCGGCTGCAGCGATTTCCCAGACGGAAGGGCCCGCACCGGATGTCTGGCATTCCAGCGACCGGTTGGATTTGGTCCCGTTTTGGAGAGTGTATGCCTGCCCGCTCCGCGACATTTGGTAGACTAGGGTGGTTAATGGGATAGTTTTTTTATGATACCCTCTGACGGCTGTGAAATCTGTTTCTATGAGGGTGCTACGTTGTCTTGGGCCGGGGTCGGGGAGGTGATCGCGAGTAGCACCATCAGGGAGAATATGAGGAAGGTGGGGAGTTAAATGGGGATATCAGTAGACATTGTTGTTCGTTTCTGCCTGTTATTGAGTGATTGAGAGAGCCTTTTCCCATCTTTCGTGTTTAGCGTTTTGTGACGTCGCGGAGGTTGTTTGTGTGAGGAAAGAGTGAGCTGAGGAAAGCCCTAATTTCCACCCCCTCTAAAAAAAAATTACCAGGTCCACGCCAAGGGACACAAATCGTTGTCCTGATGATCAATAGGGCGGTTTTATGGATCAAGAGAATATGCCGAATCATGCCCCATGACGCAAAGCTCATCTCGAGTTATTAATCATAGATCCCACGCCCCTACCCCCGAGAAACTGACAACCACGCAAATACATTACAGAATCCCTACTAGCGTCCAGAAGGCGGAGAAGACATCATCACACCGGAAAGGATTTGATAAAGCACACGGGAAGATAATGATGGAAAAACCTGAGGTGCCCGTGGACCAGGTGCTATATCATGCTGGGGATTCTCGAAACCACCAGAACTGGAAGAAGAAAAAACAGGTATGATATCGTAATCCGGGCATTATACCACTAATCTTCCCCACACCGCATACCCTCGGGGAGCCCATGGTCCACATGTATCATACAGCCAAGCAAGTGACCCGGGGCCTGAGACACAAAAAAAAGGAACGAGCCGAAGTCTGCCGCCGGAGATTGTTGGGGTACGTCAATTATTAGAAAAGCTTGAACAAAGCCCATGAAGAGGCTAGTGTGACAAAATGTGGAGAAACATGGGAAGCATAGCAGATGACGAGAGTGTTTAATTAAGCACAAAGGTTCCTTAAGAAGCTCCAAGCATTCGCATCCGATATTCGTAACAACCCCACCCCTCCAGGTGGTTACGGGAAAGCCGTCAAAAGGTCTCTACAGCAGATTTCTGCCAAGCGCGCCTTGGCTATTTCCTAACAGTTGAGAGGGGGAGGAGAATCTAAATTATCTATCATACCCTATCCGATACAGTATCTACACGGCACAATAAACTAACCAGAGCACAGCCAACGCCAGCATAACACAACCGAGTGATAATACAACGCACGCCATAACCCATAGCCCCTATGTAGTAATACAAATAAGAAAAACGGGAATCGAGCCAGAATAAAGTATTACACCCTCCCGGTCAGTCTAGTCAAACCCGCCCTTATAGCAAAAAAGTAAAACGGTTCCATCTCATCGGTCTACCTTCTAGCCCGCATTGCTTGCTCGCTCGGATTATTAACACACCCATGCTTAAGCTTATGCTCCCCCCACGCCTTCCGCCCACACTCACCCGAGCAGTACCTCACTTCCCCGCGACAACTCCCACCACACATCCTCCAAAGGCCCACCTTCCCACAGCGAAAGCACGTGCCCCACGGCCCCATTACCGCAGTCCTTACTTCATCCACTAGCTCTCTGTCTTCGACATCAAGCTTCAACTCCCAGAGGTCATTGAACGCGCGGGAGTATGCGTGCTTACTGGGGGAAAACTCTGTATTCGTGTATCCGCCAAACAAGTAAATCTTCCCAGACGTGGTGTCAAAGAGGAGCCGCCCCCGTGCACGATACGTGGGAAACCCACGGGTGAGCACTTGCGCCCATTTCCTAGTCTTCGGATGCCATGTGTAGGTATCAGCGTAATAGGTGTAATTCAAGCTCACATCCCTGCCGGGTAAGTAGGTGTTTGTAGTCCCGCAGAACCCGCCGAAGGTCACCACTCGGTCTATTCTCTCGTTATAAATTGCGGAGGATTCTGTCCGAGGAGACGGATAGTTCCCACGCACCTTCTCGCGGGTCCAGGTTTTGCGGGGGATATGGTAGGACCATATATCCTCGTATGTGTAATCACGGTCAGCGCCGTGCGTGCCGGTGGGGTTGGATCCCTTCTCACCTATGCGATTAGCGTTGCCGTACATTACAAACAGGCGATCTTCAGATGGGAGAATCCAGGTTATTGGGTGTACGCGGAGCATTGGGGAACAGTTGGTTGGGATCGGCTGGGAGGTACCGGAAAGCCACTCCCAAGAGAGGGTTCCCAAGTCCAGGCACATGAAGACATTGCAGCCAAGCCGCCTGCATCCGTCGTGGCCGCCAAAGATGTACATTTTCCCTTTATGGATCTCCATTCCGTAGTCGATAAGAGTGTCGTGGATGTATGGCCAGCTTCTGCCCGGGATGTTGAACTTTGTTGTCTTAGATGCCCACTTCTCTCGCGCGAGATCGAAGGTCAGAATTTTTTTACTGCCGTGGAAGAGATAAGCCGTGTCTTTCCATGGTTTCATCTGTAGGCCGGGGGTGCGATTGTTGCGCGGGCCACCTTCGGAGCTTGGGGGAATATCCTGGAATCGCTGCCACGTTTTCTCCGGCTGCCCATCGCCAAGAGGCAGACACCATAGATCCCGGAGGTTTGCGTGGACTGCTCCTTGACCACCGATAACGTATAACTTGCCCCTCCATATCCAGCATCCCATGGGCACCCTTGGCGATGGCGGGTGGTTGCCCTTCGTAGCCATATATCGGCAACGACCCCACTTACCGCGCACCTGAAGCTCGGGGTAATCCACCTGTAATCTTCCCTCCAGCTTGATATCCGGATGTCGGTACTCAGCATGCTTGGAGGCGTTTGCCTCTTCCTCCAGTTTAGCCATTCGTTCGGTTTTCAATTCTAATATTGAACTACAGACAGTAGTCACGGCCCAGGAATGGTGTACAACGTTAGAGGTATTTTTCAGTGCCAGGAAGCTCTGAGATAGTCGCAGGTGATATTTCTGCTGATTGAGGTAGTACTCTTCGACCAGGAGGTTTGTATTTTTCCAACCTAGTACCAATTGCGCTCCGGTTAGCTTGTCTAGATCTATATGGGCGTGATGAATGTACTAATAGAGAACTCACTAAACTGAGGCTCCTTCTTTCGAAACACCTGATTCATGTAAAGCACCGCAACCTCCTGCAACCATTCCAATGCCTACCCTCCAATCAGTCAACTCGCGACTTCACCCGCTATTCCAACAGAAACTCACCTCCCCGATACTCCCCTCTTTAATAAAGCACTGCGCCATGTTACTAAAGCAAGCGACAGCATCCATCATTTCCTGCCACTCAAGCTCCATATACTTGTCAACTTTCACACACCCCGGGGGAACTGGAAATTCAAACTCTTTTCCCAAAATTCCCTTTGCAGCTATAAGGTATTTAGCTCTAGCTAATGCGAAGTGGCCTTTCTTATACAATTCGTTGCCCTCATGTTTGTCAATATTGCAGACAATGAGACGGTGGTAAAGAGGTTGCGTCTGACGGATCATGGCCAGGAATTCCGCGAATGCAGAACGGTCGGTAGAATTGCATATCGCATCAAGAGTCTTGAGCTCTGGCCGGAAAGCGGAGGCTTTTTGGAGGATAATATTGGGATTCATTATTCTGTCTAAGTCCGGTGGTCTAGAATCCGGTATAGTTTTAATTGTCACAGGAGACATGGCGGATGTGTGGAGAGTTGTAACTATTAGTTGAGATGGTGGTGAATAGGCAAGAAACAAGGAAGAGAGAGTTTGGATTTCCGTTAATTTTATAATTTTATTTTTAAGGTTTTGATATCATAGAATTTGTGGGGTACTTTACAGGGGGAGCTTGGGCTGAGGTGAACCCCTGTCTTGGCATGGAGCTGAGTAGGGTTAGGTTACTCGTAGAGGCTTTTTTGTGGTGCTTGAGCCCCGGTGTTGAACGTTAAATTAGACTGCAAATCATGCAAGCGGCTTAAATTACTTGAGTACTTGTACCCAGTGGAATGGGCTCTCATTGGGCCAGTCCGACGACAACTAAGCCATCCACTCAAACCGACATATTGATATTGTACCAACTTCGCCACCCAGCTGGCAAGAAACAAAAAATAAATATGGAGTCTCGGACCTCTAGAATACACACAGACAGTACGAGTGCTGCTCGGACGAACGCGGCACCAGGGCAATCAGACCAAGTTGAGCGATCCTCCAAGAATCTCATTGATATCCCAAGTATGATACGCTCGTAACCAGGTCACAACCCCCATTACGGTGTCCCAGGTCTAGGACCCTACTACCACATAACAAGAAACGCAACGAAACCATTGTGAGCAGAGTAGAGTATTCAAGAGTTGGTTGTAAAACAAAAGAACAAAGACGTGAGTCAGTAATGATATCATACAAAAACACAAACCAGTTTGACAACCTAGAAACTGAAACTAAAACGAACGTCCAACTCCCCTTCCAATCGCTAGCTATCACACTCGTATCAATAAAACAGGTATCCGGAAAATATGTTAAAAAAGAAAGCAAATAAACCCCTCACTCCAGCATGCTTTTTCTCGTATCCAACATCACAGCTTTTTTTTCTTTCCCCTCCCCCCCTTTTTTTTCCAAGCGACAAGTCTAAAAAGTCAAGAGGCGGCTAAGCGTCTTCCGAACGCTAAATTTCTGTTTCTCTCCGCCTTCTTGCTTCTCCACTGCCTCACTTCCTCTGCGCTTTGTCTTCTTGCTCTTAGCTTCCTTCACGTCCCTCTCAGAGAAGGTCACGGCCGGGGCATCCATAGACTGGGCTCTTCGCTTCTCCTCCTTTCTCGCCCGACGAGCCTCTTCCTCCTCTGGTGTTCTCTGCTTCTTTTCATGATGACGATGTCTATGCTCCCGCTTACCCTCGCTTGAAAAGGAGTGACCGGAATCCTTCGGTGCCTCCCGTTCGGCTTTGCGAGCGCGACGGGCAGCACGGCGTGTCTCCTTTACTACCCTAGCTTCCTCAGGGGATAGAAAAAGCGCTGGCGCTTCCGATTCGGGAAACTCGGATGCTGGAAATTCCGATGTAGGGAACTCGGATGGGGGCTCAAGTTGGGAGGCCTCGGGGTCCACGGGGTAAGAGTTATTGAGGTCGAAACCCAGCTCTGTCCTTACTTCTTGTCCGGGCTCTGCATCAGGCTCCGGCAAAACGGTTTGGTCGTCGTGAGGTTCGACACCGCCGTTGATGACAGTGGCGTTTCCATCAATCACAGTACCCTCGCCATTAATCATAGTACCCTCGCCGTTAATCATGGTGCCTTCTCCGTTAATTATAGTGCCTCCCCCATTAATAATTGTAGCCTCCGCCTTTGCAGCCCTGCGGGCAGCCTTTTCCGCTTTCCGCCTCTCCCTATCTTCCTTACTTTCTTTGCCCTCCTTGCTACTGCCCTTCCTAACTTGCTCCTCTGTTGTTCGTTAGTTAATTGTATCATCTAGCATCGCTTGAGCGTGGAAATTACCAAGTTCTCTACCCTTACGCAACGCCTTCTCTTCGTGCCTTTTCCTCCTCTCTTCCCGGGCCTCGGGAGTCATGTTTGCATGGGAGTGTTTTTTCTTGGACTTCTTCCCATCCTCAACATCAGTTTCCCCGCCTGATCTCTTGGAGTTGGACTTTCGCCGATGCCTCTTCTCTTTTTCCGGCTGTTCCTCCGTGGCCGTGACCTCTGGTTCATCGTCCGCACCAATACCGGCCCTAGAACGACGGCGCCGGCGTTTTGTCCCATCCTCCACCGAAGGCAGAGATAGATTGTACCGACCACCAACCACTTCATCGTCGACGACAGCGATAGTTGGTGGGACAGCACCAAATTTTGCTGCCAACTTTGTAGCGCGCCTCGCCTCTTTGCCTGCTCTCTCTTCTGGAGTTTTATGTCGCTTTTCTTTTTCCCCCTTTTCCTTCGGCTCTTTTGGATCCCTGACCCTATGTTCCCTTTCGCTCCTCTCGCGACGTTCTCTTTCGCCTTTGTCGCGGTGCTTTCGCTCCTTTTCCGGCTTGTCGCTCCTGTCCCTTCGCCTATGCGACTTGCGGTGCCTAGGTTTATCGGCGCCCACGTCAGGCGCATCGGCAGCAGAAATGGCCATGGCAGCTGCAGCGGCGGCGGCGGCAGCTTCGTCGTCTAATGGGCCGTCGAGAGTTGAGCGTGGTCGATCGATAAATGGGTCTTCTCCGGAAGGTAAGTTAAACTGCGAGGACTCCTCGTCGAGGACACCCGGCATGGTGGAAGGTTGAGAAGACATCAGGCCTAAAAGGGGGGGAGGCTGGATAAGATCTGAAGCGGGGGCTGAGTCAGGAGTTTCAAGCGGCGCTGGGTTAGACTCTGTTAGGTATGTTCCCACAACCTCCTCAACACCCTGTTCTACCGGAACCTGATCAGCCGGTGGAGAGGGGCCTTCGGAATTCGGATTCTCGACAGAAGTTTCTGCCGGAATAGGATTATTGTTATCGTTATCGATGGCTGATTCCCCCTCGTGACTTGGCTCTTCTACCGCTTCTGGTGATTCTTGGCCCTCCTCTGTTGTTGCGGACTCAGGCTCCGTCTTAACCTGAACTGAGTCGGTATCTTCCTCGGGAATGGCAAGATTTTCTTCGACTACAGCCTCTCCAGGATCGTCTGGCGGCTCAGACGTATTTGAGGGGTCGTCTTCCTTTTCACCGTTCGCAGGCTCAAGGCCAGGATCGGGATCGGTGTCTGCGGGATTTTCCTCCGAATTTGCCTTCGAGTCAGGTGATACTTTTTCTTCCTCTTTTTGCTCGTCTTTCTGCGCCGCTTCAACCAAATCTACGGGAGGCTGGTCTTCTGGTGGAGTATCGGTAGCTTGTTCGTCGCCTTCGTGTGGAGTCGAAGCAGGGGGAGGAGGCGGGTTGTTCCCTTCTGCTTCGCCCGAGGCTGAGCCTGCGCCTGAATTCTGGTGGCCTTCTTCTGTCGAAACAACAACGGCAGTGTGGTCTTCCTGAGTCGCAGACTCGGTCGCACCTATAACGCTCGCTTAATTTTTAGCAACAAATCGTGTTTGTGGAACGAATGGGTTCCCTGTAAAATAAACCGCCCCTCCTCTTATCAAAAAGCTGCAGTGCTTGTGGATGATTGGAATGAAAAGAATATTTAAAATCTTCTTGTAGGTTGAATGAAACAATAGAAAAGGGGTTTATTGTACTATAATTCCCCCCCCCGCAAGCACGATAAGACGAAGAAGGGCGAAAAATGGGGAGGGGGTGAAGTGAATTGAATCTCACCTTCAGAATCGATTGCCTCTGTAACGTGTGTATCGCCAACGTTTTCCAAAGGAGTATCGCCTCCTTCTTTTCCTTCTTGATTGTTCTCCCCCTCCCCCCCATTCTTGTCCTCACCTGTGTCCACGGCAACACCTCCATCTTCCTCTTCTGCTGTCGCTGCGTTGTCTGCCTTCGTTCCATCCTCGTTGTCCTGCGTCTTAGCTCCTTCGATCGGCGGTTGGTCCTCTCGCTTCTCCTCCCCAATGTCCTCTGACCGCTGCTCCTCTTCATCAATCATGTTTGCAGTGAGTATCGTCAAGAAAAATTATCGACCTTTTGGCTCCAGAAACGACACACACACACTTCAGGGGGAAAATAATAGTAATAAAAATCTCATCTCATTTCCCTCGAGGAGAATAGTGGGTGAATAGAATGTTTTGTACAGGAAATCCAGTCAGAGGGTACCATCACCCCACTCCGTAACCCGACGTTTGATAATCAACACACAATTGGAGCCACGTCCCGGCAAACCTCACCCTTTTCCCTTAATTCCGGGAATCCGAGTGGTATATTATGGCAACATTAGGAAGGGAGGGAAAGGGGGAGGAAAAAAGGGCGAAAAGGAATGGTTTGCTCATTCAACCCACACAGTACAGGCGCGGCACACCACCACTACTCGAGTTTGAGCACGATAATACCTCTAAATTACCAGCCACTGGCTAGATAGCCAGCCATCCCTTACTTTTTAAAAAATCCTCACACCTTTGCCCTCTCCACAGGCAAACCGGAAATCTGACGGGAGATGTCAGAATGCACCAGTTTGAGGTGCTTGCAGAGACGTGGCGGATGACGGCCATTGGACGGTTTGCTATCGTGAGTCGACTCTGCTTGATAGGGGAAGAACTGAATACGTGGGGTTATCCACCTGCGCTCCCGCCGCTTCGTTCGTCGCTCCAGTGCCCAACTGGAATGGACTGTAACTTTGTTGGTATATACTGACAACATATCTGGTACCTTGGGTGCAGGTACTTTATCTTGCCGCCCGACACATAACTTAACAGTCTCACCTGCTTCTAAGCCACAGGACAGACCAATTGAAGTCATTCAACGCCCTTAACTACATCAGTGCTGAGGGAATCAGGATACCATTCTAAGAAATGCCCTGGACCCCTATCCCAAGTGCAGATTACTGAAAATAATGAAAGTAAGAAATTTAATTAAAATTAAAGTAGGATAGAAGCCACGATACAGTAATCTTTAAATTCCTCCCTTCGCCTTGGCTTCCTTCTTCTCTTTTTGTGTTGCTTTGCTCAGAGTCGGGTGCTTGCTGCTCTCGCCCGCGAAGCCGCGAGTAAGTCACCAAAGACAACTCATCTCGAACCCCCAGCCATTATTCGTAGACCTCGAGAGGAGGAATTTCCCCCCAACCAGAACTGAAAATACCCGCAGAAGCCTCAAGTACCTTCTTATCGACCTTCCATCCCTCAATCGAAGAGAAAAAAGAAAAAAGTTAATCCTTCTCCACCGCTCCGCTTCCGTTTCTCTTCCCTCCCTTCCCCTTGCCCCTTCCCTCACTCACCCTGCTAGTCTACGAGGGTACCGGGTATGTACGAGTACAGTATGGTGCAGTGCTCGTATCATACTGTATCATACCAGTACTCTAACAGCTCGAGCACGGCAGAAACCCTCGCTCCTCTTTTCAATTTTACCATATTTCTTATTTAAATGAAAATGTTTTCCCCTTACCCCTCGCCCCCGCCGTAATTGTAAAAACTCCAAAGATCGAAGAAGTCCGCCGTGGTCGAGCAGGAAAAAAAAATTTCAGCACACCGCATCATGGCCCGATTCATTAGCTCGTGGCTTTTTTTTTTTTTTGTTTGCCGTTTATCACACGGACAACTCGCCCAAAATACGATCTCAGCGGGATTACCTGTAGACCAACCCTAACCCATCAATACCCGCTGTTTTTGCCTCTCACCTAATATTCGCGATAAGCCGTCGGGTGAATATCGTAGCTGGGAACGGAACGGCAATAAATATGGCAATTCTTGACAAAATGAGCGCTTTTTTCCCTCCCTTTCTGCGTTACGGTTGACGACCTCGCACAGCTGAGTTCCTCGCACTCATCATTTCTCACTCGATTGACGGTTGCAGGCGTTTTTTGTCGACCAGCAACAGCATGGCATCCCTGATCTCTAGTACTCCGGTGCAGAAATGCTGAGTAGCGGGGTTGAACGCCTGTGAAGGTTGCGAGGAGCGCTCCGATGGTGCGGGGAAGCTAAACGGCCAGGCACTTGCTGTGTTTGGAAGGTTGATTCCTCTGCTGACGGATGTGGCCGTCCGCCGGACACGTATTCTCGTGGCCATTTCTTTTTTGTATTCATTCATTCACTCGCAGGCGGTGCCCAAGTACTAGTACATACTGATGTGGTGTGCGGTCCCGCAGGCCATTGTACTCGAGTATAGCGCGGAAGTCCACCCGTGCATCGGAGAGCCAGAATGCCAGGCATGCCCTGCAGTCCAGACCCGAGATATCGCGACCAATGACACCATCTGGTTCGAGGCTTGCCCAAATACGATACCGGTAAACTCGGAAGTTTTAGCTGCCGTTGCATTTACCTTACCAAGAGGTATTTATCAAGGAATATCACGGTAACTTACAGCGCCTGTACGTCCAGATTAAGCTCTTTCAGTCTAGGTGATAAATACGATGCCTCCAGATGGAATCTGGCGGAGCGGAAGTCTTAACTTATCCTTTGGGCCGTCTGAGACGGACGGTAAAAAATTCGCGGCCAAGCATACTATCCATAGTCTTGATCCATCAGCAGCTAGCTATTTCGGGTTATAATTTGAGCTTTTGAATGTTCGAGTGACTCAGCATCTGGGCAACCATTACCGGTAGTGGGCAAACGGATCTCAATACCAGTAGTAAAAATTCTTGAAATTCGCCATCGGATTATCAGCGGGAATTTACCGTTCAGCCCAGATAGGTTTACTTGACAGGTTAACAGAATTGCGAATACCAGTCACTTTGTATGTTAACGAGATCCAGCATGTCCGGTGGGGCCGAGCTTTTACCGTGTTGGGTAAACTTTAATCCTTCTCAGGAGCTTTGACTCAGAATCCGGAGATTACAGCGCTGTCGGAGATAAGTGGATCTCAAGGATTCTGGTGGCGCTCGAACTCGACGCTCCCCCAAACGGGATTAGCATGTATGGTCGCGAATTTTACTGTTTTACTCGAGTACCGGTGTGGAATTTATTTCGCACTACACCTCAGGCGACCGTGGGATATTGCGGTAGTTGAACTTGCAAATTATCGTAATGGTGACCTCCGGTTAAACCGTAGGATAGCGTCACAGGGAATTGACTCGCCGGTATGTTGTATTGCTAGGAAAAGAACACAAAAGTGGACCCAATGAAGTAAGGGTGGAAGTGTTGTCTATTGCGTTGTTCTCCGTTGGTGGCTTGACTAAACTAAGGTGGGAAGGTCGGGAGTGCTTAAGAGGACAAATTTTCCCTCCAAGACTCGCCCCCTTCTGTGACAAGAAATTCTATGGAGTAAACACCCCATAGATACAGGACCTTACCCTCCTACTAACCCACAAACCCTCAAGGATCCCTCCTTCCACTTGCCTTGGCCCCCGAAGACCAAGAAAACAGTGCTATTGAACATGACTTCTATCTACTATCCTTCTCCCTCTATCCCTTTTGTAGACAACCCAGAGTGACTAGCCATAGCTTCAACCATTCTTTCATTATACAACTCTCCTCACTCCACCTAGCATCTCCAAGTAGACCCAATTCCCCCTGCTCTTCTGGTTCTCCGTATTCTCACCCAAATTATAAACCTCCACTGGTTGTATCGTGCCTTCTTTCACTCTCCTCTTATGCTCTATGATGTCCACCAATTTCACCCCAGGATGTGGTTCTAAACAACGTTGCAAGTATACTTTTAGATTGTTTAAGTGGACATGATCTCTGAGAGCACCTTTCTTGACTCAAACCAATTGTTTTATATTGATATCAAGTAGCCAACCACTCTTACCGTGCCAAGCAAGGTCTAATAAAATGTATGGACCTTCCCACCGTAGTTCTAATTTGCTTCCCCGGTGTTGGTCTAAGAGAAATCTCCTCAACAGGACTAGGTCTCCATCTTTTAGTGCTTTATATCGTGGGACTTTTTGATTGATGTCTTGCAAATCTGCTTGTCGAACAAGTTGTATTGCAGCTTCAATGTGAATGTAATCAAGGTGTACAAGTCTTTCCAACTAACGTTCGGCTAGGTCAGTCTCGATAGCCCATTGGTTTTCTCCACTTCCAATAGTCGTAGACACAATTGCAGCAGCCTTCTCTGTGCTTGCAGTGATATCCCACCCAGTTTTGTTTGAATTATATCCAAGGAGTAACTCTGGAGGACTAAATCCATGGATATTGAGAATGTAGGTATTGATTCCATAAATAACAGAGTCTATATACAAATTCCAGTCAGTTTGTGGAGCTGCTTGACCTTTGATTGTAACTCTCAATCCATCCACTAGGAGTTTAATGTAATATTCTGCCAGTCCCACTGATTGAGGATGTGACTTTGGTATTGGTAGGTGTAAAACAAACATACTGCGTAGAGACTTGGCAAATTCTCCAAAGACAAAGTGGCCACCATTATCAGTATACACTACTTGCGGCCATCTGAACTGTTTGACTATTCCCATCAAGAGGGTCACAGCTGATTCACCTTGACTATTCGGAACAGGCTTTTCAAACAGAATACAGGTAAAGTAATTAACGCCAATGACAATATATTTATTGCCTCATGGTGTCTCTGGAAAGCGACTGACAAAACCAAACCCCATCATTGTAACATGTTCGCAGGGTGCTAATCACGTTATCGGTAAAGGATACGATAGTTGGCAGGTGGCCTGCTCTTCCAGAGAGGAGGCGAGAGCTGAGAACTAAAGGAGGCTTCGAGGGTGTACTGAGGAACAAAGAAGTAACCATTCAACCAAGTATATTGAAATACTGTCTGTCGAAGTCTGCCTTTTCTATCGTAGAAACAGGCGGTCTTTAAATACACAAATCTGTTCATGTCTAGCATGAACGAAACTAATCAAAGGTATCAATTGATACTCTTTGGTAAAACTCTTTAAGTATCAAAACGATACTTAAACAAAACATAAAACAAAACCAAGTATCAAACGATACTTAAAACAAACCAAGTATCAAAGCGATACTTAAAACAAAACCAAGTATCAAACGATACTTAAAACAAACCAAGTATCAAAGCGATACTTAAAACAAAACCAAGTATCAAACGATACTTAAAACAAACGGAGTATCAAAGCGATACTTAAAACAAAACCAAGTATCAAACGATACTTAAAACAAACCAAGTATCAAAGCGATACTTAAAACAAAACATAAAACAAAACCAATAACCAAGTACCCGTACCGGTTACAATCATGTCTAAGGATTGCAAGTGAACAATTGCTATTTGGCTAACTAAGGGCTTC